AGCAGGTTTATTGAAACTCCTTCTGCTGCAGACAAAGTAAGGGGAAGAAGCAACACAGGCTCCTGGCAAGGAAGCATGCTTATTTTAAAGACAAAGTGGCGAACTCCCTTCCAGACAGGCTTCTTCATTAAATCTCCATCCAGGACACCACAGTATGGGGCATAATTAAATTCACTGTCATGGAACGTAATTAAATCTCACGCTGGGGAATAAGGCAGCACGGTTATTTCGGACACAGCAATGCTGCCTCAAACGTATCATTTCCTGTATTCCATTCTCGGAAGAAACAGCAAACTTCTTCCCTTCTGTCACAGCAGGAGGTAGAAGAGACAAGACCTGCCTGGCCCAGGGGGCTGGTGGAGCGTCGCTCACCCAGCGTTTGCCTCTGCCAGGAGGACGTGGTGGGAGATGTCATGCTGACAGACTCACCCTGACAGCAGATCCAGCCACATCTCTGCAGTGACATATCTCAGCATCTCCATTTATTGTCTCCCTATTAGCAACATTAACACACTTGCCTTGATAATCTCCTCCTGTGCCAGGAACACAACTCACACTGGAAGCTCCAGGGAAATTTGCCCAGTTGAGTTTTTCCTCTCCTTTCCTCGCTAGCAGGTCTGCCAGAGCAGGCAGGGAGGCCACAGGCTAAGCTGCAGGCCAGAGGGATGCCTGGACAGAGGGCACTGGTCCCCCATGCTGCCTGCAAGCTCCCTGACCTGTCTGTGTCCCTGCTGCAGCCCTGCTTTGCAGGAGCTCTGTGGCACCCTTCAATACCTGCACAGCTCTGCTCTGCTCGCTGACAGGACACCAATCCTCACCCAGGTAAGCAGCATTCCATCTCCAGGTCCTGCCTTTCCCAGGAAAGCTGCTGCTGGAAAAGAGGAGACAGCACCACAAAGGCCATATGCTCCTTGTGTTTCCCCTGTGCAGCCCAAGCTCCCCTTACAACATCTGCCTCGAGGGCAGTGTCAGGGGCTGGCAGCGAGCAAGGGAAGTCCCTCAAACCCCAGCACACCCCCAGGGCCAGTCTCGGTGGCAACCCTGCTGAGGAACCAGGAAAAGCTGCAGAGTCCTCTATTCCACAGCTGGGAAGGGCACAAAAGGAAGGGGAAGAAAGAAAACAGATCACTGTATGGGAACAACTGCACACTTTGTTACAAATAAACTGGCAAAGTCCAAATCCAGACTGGAGTCACCTTTGCTGAACTTTACAAGCCTTAACAAGCATCTCCTGCACGCTCTGCCTCCAGACCCCTCTGGGTGACTCCCACAGCCCAGCGTGGTCTTCCTGCAGCTATGGGGGGGTACCACCACAGCTCAGAGGAGCAACTGCAGCTCACAGTCCCCTGCAAAGCTGTCCTGTCACCACCTGCAGCCACAGCAGGGACCCCAGCCTGCAAAAACAGGTTTGCTAATGACTCAAGGAATGTAATCCCACTTCTCCTCTACCTCTGATAATCACAGAAGTAATAATCAACTTACAACTCCCGTAAGCCCTGCTGCTGAGGCCAACATGAGCCATCACTGACCTCAGCTGAGGCAAGGTCAAGCCTGGTGCTGGCTCTGGGAAGTGTCTCCAGCTCCAACACTAGAAACGGAATCCCCAGCAACTCCCAGTTCCCCTCTCCCTTGGATGTGGGCAACCCAAAAGGCTCTCTGCCCAGCCATGGCGAGAGGCGTGCCCGAGCGAGCACGGCCAGACGCCAGGGCCCCCAGCTGCTGGTCAGCAGGAGGCAGAAACACTCCCCTGGAGACAAACACCACACAGTGCCCCAGTTTACTGGCCAGTGACCCCCGTGCTGCCTGGTGCACCCAGGGGAGCCACAGCTCAGTACCCCACGACGCTCCTTGCAGCTCACCACTGAACCACTGCTCCTGAGTTATGTGCATCTCGTACCCCAGATACTACATCCCTGCTTCTTTGGTAGTTTACATTTACATAATGAAAGCACAAAACACAAACCCTGCCAGTTCCTCCGTGTACCCGCAGCATGTCACAGCCCGTTAATAAATTCTAGAGGGGATGAATTAAAAGTGACATCTCTGGAAAAAAATGTTACTCTAATTTACCATCAAAGAGCAATCTACAACAAAACCCAGCAGCTGAACCACCACTGCGGCTGCTTTAACCCTGCTGGAGCTGGTTTATCTGCCCCACAGAGTGTACAGTACAGTGTCCCCAGGAGTGCTGCAAGCACTTGACTCACCACACCCAAAACCTGACCGGGAAAAAGAGTGGAAGCTTCCTCCTCTGAGGCCTCTCACACCAGCTGCCAGGCTGATGTCCTGAGGAGCTGTCTGGCAGGATGCTCCTGTTCCCACACTGTGCCCAAGTCACCAAAGGCTGCTGCCATGTGGGAAGCAAACCCCAGATCACTTTTGGGCACAGTGTGCAATAGGTCAAGAAAAATAAATAACCTGAATAGCCCCAGGAGTGGCAGCCTCCTTGTCCACATGAGGACACAGAATAAGCCTTTTCCATGATTTAGCTGAGAATTATTTCCAGGGACAGGTGACCTCTGCTATGATTCAAATCTCAAGGGACAAACACAAGTGAAATGACAGATCCCCCCAGCCCCACGACTCCCCTGTGGAGGGAGGCCAGGCGGGTGCTGGCTCTGCCAGGCTGCAGATGGAGCCAGGTACTTCACCTCTCCTGGCAGGGTGTGGTGGAGGCAAAAAAAGGGAGCAACAATTTCTACAGAACCTAAGTGTTGTGCCTTAAAAGTTGAAATTTAAATTCAAAAAGGAGAAGAGGGTGAGAGATGGAGGAAAAGCAAATACAAAAAAGTAACTCTGCTGAAGAGATGAAATACTTTATCACCCTGTCCTGGCTGAGGATTGACATCCTACAAGAAAACATTTCAAACACTATTTATGTCCTTATGTTGACTGGGTGTGTCCTCTGGTTCAAAGTGAGATACACCATTGACAGACCACTGACCAGCTGCAGGGCCAGGACTCCTGAGCCTGGAGCTGTGCCCACAGCAGGGCTGGGCACGCAGGGAACACTCCTTCACATCTGTCCAACTGCCCGAGCACTTGGGTTCCACATCTGGCCTTCAAAAACACCGTAGGAGGCACCAAACCTCACAGCAGCACTATGCAAATGTAATGTTACACATCTGTAGTGTTAATGATGTTTAAAAGCCTTCCCTTTCTCCCCCTCCCTCTGCCCAGCGCCCCCTGACCACCCACCCAAGGCTTACACCAGCAGGCACAACAAGGCCCTCACTCCTGCTGGCTTCCCACAGACTGCTCCAGCTCTTCATGCCCTTACCAGATGAGGCACTCCCCTCTCATTTTCAGTCGAAGAGTCCTGGTCCCCCTGACTGCAAGATTCCTGCAACTCTTTGATGCTCATTTTTAATTTGGTTATCATTAATAATTCTGTATCATCAGCAGGCTCTGTCAGCTCACTGTTCATCCCTTTTCCAAATAATTTATTAGGAACTCCACTGAAATTCTCCTTCCTTTTGTTCCCTGTCTTTTAACCTGTCATTAATCCAGAAGACAACCACTCCTTACTCTTCAACAGTTTCTTTTCTTCAAGAACTTCAGACAGACCTTTTGCAAAGCCCGTAAGGCACTGAACACACTGTGCCAAGATATTCACATGATCACTGACTCCTGGAAACACCTCTACTAGACTTCTGAGGCATGAGTCTTCAGCAGCAAGCCACGCTGACTCCTCCCCTGTATCTGCCTCCAGGCTTGCCATGCTGCCCTTCTCTACTGAAGTTTCACCCAAGTCTGGTTTTCAAGTCAGATTGTTGATCTGTTCTCTGAAGCCCTCCAGGAGCCTTTAAAAAAAGTCATCACGTTTTCCACCTTTCATTTCTCTAGCAGTGATGCCAGTTCAAGCATCAGGTCACACCTCACTGTAAGTCACTTGACAGTTTCCTATCTCAGCTTCTTTACAATCCCTGGATAAATATTACCTGGAAAGACTATTAAGTGATTGTCCCTTGTACAGATTTGCTCTGCAGTATCTAATGACAGTTTGGTTGGATAAAGTTCCTCAGGCTGGTTAACACCACCACTAAGCTTTTCCAGGACAAGTTCCAAGTTGGCCTTTGGCTGTTACCCAGCAGCATTTTTGCACTTCACCCCTCTATTCCCCTTCTCATCCTGCAGCAGGTTTCTTGTGACTTTGGAGAAGTTTCTGTTAGCTTTATGTCTTTAACAAGGTATCTCTGAGAATTATACTTGGTCTGCCTTACTATGGCTTTAGATTTTCACAGTCCAGAATTCAAACTCCTCTCTAGTTTTCTCATTAAGACATGACATGTACTTCAGAAGAAGTCCTGTTACCTTCCTCTGCTTTTTAACAATATTGTGGGTTTTGCAGCTCTTCAGACTTTCTACACAACACAGTTGCATACAAGTCCACAATAAGCTTCTGTTTAGACTAAAATGCAAGGGTGGATCCTAACAGAGCAGAACTCTCTGTCACTGCTTTGGTTACCTTTTTAAAGAGCCTGATGACATCCTCACTGATCTGAGCCAGCCGGACGATGACATTGTTCATGAAGATGTCATTCAGGGTGGCGTGGTCTCTGCTCTCGCGCCGCGTCTGCGTCAGAACCAGGTACCAGCAGTTCACAGGGGAAAGCAGGTGCTGATCTTTCCTAGGGGAGTGGGCAAAAAAGAAAAAGTCAAGTGCACAAGTCAGAAAGGGATGCAATTCTCAAAGGAGTGCTGCCAGCATATTAACAGTGCCTTCCTCCACCACGTACACCTGCCAGAATCCGTTGTGTGCTCACACACCACATCAGAGCCCCAGGCAGACCCTTCCCAAACTGGCTGCTGGAAGCTGGAACAGGAGAAGAAACATCCCTGGCAACCCCCTTAATGCTCTGCGAGGGAGACAGTTCTGCTCTCTTCTCCACCTCGTGCTATAATGCAGCTGTCCCTTCCACTTGCCACATAACCTGTTGTCCCACGTTTAGTCCCCTGAACAGAGCTGGTGAAAACACTTTGCATCCAACGTTCCCCCAAAGCTTCTGAGCACAACATGGACACATTCCTGCATGCTGAGCATCCGTGATGGTCTCGATCCAACTCGTGCTGCACGCAGCACAGATTGCCATGAGAGGCAGCAGGTGTCAGGGAGGGTGACCCAGAGAGTCCCCAGGAGCCACGGAGCATCCTCAGAGCTCGTCCCCACGGGCCCTGCTGGGGGACACCCTGCCCAGAGGCACCCCGAGACCCCACCTCGCTTGGAGCCAGGGGTGGTCAGAAAACCTCTCCTTTTGAGGGAAATTTCAGCAAACGTTTCATACTTGACTAGAGCTGAACTCATTTTGAGGTGTCCCATCTCAACACTGAGACTTGCACTGTGCTCCATGTATTGCTTGTAGTGCTGGAAGTGAATTAATCAAAAGTGAATCCAAGTTTCCAGAAATGGCACAAGCGAAACAAAACATTTCACATTGTCCAACTGAGGCACTGTGAGAGAGATCCTCTAAATGAGGCAGGCAATTGATTGTTCCTAATGCTTCACCTACACTGTTTTCTCCAGGCCAACCAATGCTTTCCTACAAGACATGCTGGTTCCAGAGAAACAGCCCCTTGTGCTCACACCAGACTGTTCTTCTCAAGAAGCCCTGCCACCAGAAAGCCAGCCCACCCTGGCTACAGCTACACTGAGCAAAGCCTTCATGCACATACTCCTCCTCATCCGAGATGTTCTCACCCATGGTGCTGGGGCTGGTGCAGCCCACCTCACCCCCAAACCCACAGAGAGGAAGGCACAGCAACTCCAGGGAATCCTTGTGTCTACACACAGATAAAGCACTCAGATACAACAGCCTGAATGAGTCTCTCGACCCAAAACCACCACAACAGCCCAGCAGCAGCACCACAGCAATTACCACTGTTAAGGGCTGGGCCACAGCCTGCTGCAGATGGCTACACAGGGACAAAGGAGGAGCTGAAGAGGCTGTATTTCTTTAGAGTGTCAAAAGCCTCATCAGAATAATGACATTCATGAGTGAGCTGGGGATTTGGTGCAGATGACCCTAATAAAGGGCAGGTACAGAGCAGCCTGGAAGGAAAATATATTAAGGGTGTCTCTCTGAGCACAGTGAGGACTCAGCAGAAGTGTGCACTGAAATCAAGCTGGCCCTATCAACACAACCCACAACACCACAACTAGCCTGGCGTTTTATGAAGGTGAAGAACCACTGTCACCTGGAGATGCTGCACACCAGCACCCCTCCAACATCACCACAAGCAGCAGCAGTGCCACAGCACTGTGGTCAGCTGGTGGGAGAGGCACACAGGCACAGGGTGAGCTGTCCTGGGCTCCATCCCTGAGCAGGAGCATCTCCCTTCCCCAGCACACAGCACAGCAGTGCCAGCCCAGCACGAGACAAGCAGCAGTCAGGTGCAAAACCAACAGGTAACGTCTGGACGGCAGCTCGTTTTCAGCAGACTTTTGCATAAGACAACAGGAAAGCCTTGCTCACTACAGAGAGCAAGTAAACAGATTAAATGGGATTTAGTCATATGGAATAAATGGGATTTAGTAATGTAACAGCAGAAATCACTGCTCTTGCAGCTGAAACAGGAAAAAAAACATCACTAGGGGTTAGTGAAAGAAAAACACTGTAAGGAGCCAGGGGCTAGCAAGGCTAAGTGCATCAGACAGGCAAATCCCTCCGTTTTCTGGGCAGGAGCTAAACTGTGGCTGTAGTCTCTGGCCATTGGACTGAATTACAGCAGTTTCATCCTGAGCAAAGGGCACAATCCCAGCTGACAGACCATTTCATGGACAGTGCTGCCAGAGGAAGCCCTGAGACAAACCCAGCAGCCCAGGGAGGTGAAGGAAGGGACCTTCAGCTGACGTGCAGCACGGGCAGCAGCCAGGATGGCACCTGCCTCCCTGCTGCTGGTGGCCCCGGGGTACAGACCTGGCTGGCCACGGCCCGGTGGCTGAGTGAGACCCCTCAGCATGAGGGCCCAACGGGGAGAGCTGGCATGGCAAGGACTGCCAGAGAAAGAGCCTGACGGGCACCAAGCCTCGCTGGAGCCCAGCCCCACACCCTGACCCGCAGGGACCGGCGAGCACGGGGCAGGGGCACTGCCAGGCAGGAGCCACGTGCCCCCACCACACAACAGTCCCCTCCAGGCCTCCGCTCCGCCTCACGTCTCTCTCTTTTCTTTTCTCCAGATCTTGTTTGTTTTAGCCAAGCTTGAGAGAGTGGTTAAACTGCAAAGAGGCTGCTTCTGAGAACTCGCACAGACTGACACACCCGCGGATTTCACCATTTCCATTGTCACTCTGAGCTTCACACAATTCCAGCATCCATTTCATACCTCCTATTTCAAAGCTTTGTTTCAACACATTTCCACTCTGGGTTTGCCTCGCTTCAGCACTGTAGGGATGTGTACACAGAAAACATACACTGCATTTTAAAAACCTGCAATAAATCTGGCTTCCAGGAACCACTTCCAAGCCTGAGCCTGTAAGAGATCTCTGCAATGGGGCTCTGAACAACCTGCTCTAGTTGCAGATGTCCCTGCTCACTGCAGGGGGGTTGAACTAGATGACCCTGAAAGGTCCTTCCAACTCAAACCAGTCTGTGATTCTATGATCTCCTTCTCTGGAGACCTTCAAAACCCACCTGAACATGTTCTGTGTAACCTGCCCCAGATGGACCTGCTTTAGCTGCAGGGTTGGACAAGATGATCTCCAGAGGTCCCTTTCAACCCCACCATGCTGGCAGTCTATGATCTAGGGACTGGACTGCGTACAGAAACCAGGGTTTATAAAATGGGCCTGCCATTATTTGTGCAATCAAATCAGTGGCTGAATGCCAGCCTTTTAAAAACTATCAGGGGGCTTGACTCCTTCCTTGTCTCTGATTCGTATTTTTATTGCACTGCTTAAAGGAGTGCATAGTAAGTCTTATCTGGGCAGCACAAGTCAGTAATGCTGTGGTGAAAGTCCTGGAAAAAGACACTTCTAGTTCTTTCTGTGACCCCTGCACAGTGGTAAGACAGACAAGGCCAGCACTGATGCTCTTTACTCCGCTTCTGGACCGCACAGCTACAAATAAATAGAGCTCTCGTGTTCAGGGCAGCCCCTGGCCCACCATCTTGCACCATTCTGCCCCACAAACACCTGCTTACTTGAACTGGTGCTCTCTGGAGCTGCGTATCTTGGAGGAGAACCTCTCGGCCAGCTTCTCCAGGCTCCTGGAGTACTCCAGCTCGATCTCAGCCTTCCTGCGGAAGAACTCCTGCAGGTCCTGCAGCAGCTGCAGGCGCGACTCCGACTGCTGCTCCAGGCATTTGAACTGCTCCACCAGCTGCGTTCGGATCTCTGCACCCACACCAGAGAGAGAGAAAACAGTGTCAGGAACAAACACCAGCCAGGAGCATGTCCTTCCTCCTCTCAGCAAATGGCACAGGCACAGCTAGAGCAGGCTGCCCCATCACCCTCAGGCTTAACTCAAGGCTTCCTAAAGCAGAGGGTTTTTTCCAGTGAAGAGCTGAAGAATTTCATTCACTGGTCTCATTTAAAACCCTGTTCTTTGTCAAAATAAAACAGCTTTGTGAGTACACAGAGACCAACCCTGAGCTTTCCAATTGCTTTTTTAGAAACCAGGAAACGATACTTCAATTTGTCTAGAACTACCTGAAATCCTGTATTCTTTGCAGATAAACTAATGCACTATTTCTTGACAAATGAACACTTTAACACCTATGTGAAGGACTGACAATGACCTCACGGAGGCTAGGACCATAAATGCTCACTCCTTTCACCCATGTCCCCACAGTGCTTGAACTGGCAAATCAAACTCATCTTTGCTCAAAGGCTTAAGAAGTCTTTCAGACCCTCCACAGTCCAGCTCACAAAACACCAGAGTTTATCTGTGCCAGACTTTCTCACAAGGACCCCCAGACACAGGGACAGACAGCCCCGAGCCCCCCGCAGCCCTTGCCAAAGGGGCCCTGCAGTGCCCAGGGTGGGCTGGGAGCAGGGCTGGCTGTGTCCCTGCCCAGGAATGACATCCCACCAGTGCCAGATGGACCCTGCCCCCAGCACCAGCCTCACCTGCCCTGCCGAAACCACCAACCTCAGGCACACCAGTTCTGCTCAGTGCATTCCGACTACTCGAGGACTGGTTTAATACTTCTCCTCTTTAGATGTCAGAGTTGTGATTTTCATCTTGACCAGCCTCATTTTGAGGTTATTTCTCTCCCATAGTAAAAGGCCAGTTGCCCTTTTTGCAGCTGCCCCCTCTCAGGTAACGCAGCCAAGGCTGCAAATCCCCAGCACGGGGCTCACCCTGGAGAGGGGCAAGCCCTGCCAAGGCAACACTGCTCACAAAGGGCAGTCAGAGCCCTCGGCCTCTCAAGAGGAGCAGTGCAGCACCCGTGGCACAGGGCACAACAGAAATACCCCCCTCCAAACTGCCTCCCAGCCACGGGGAAGGTTTATGCAGCACTGTGAAACACTGCGAGGATGCCTGCACCCGAGCAGCAGCTGGGCTCTGCCCTGCAGAAAGGGGAGCCCCGTGGGGAGCAGTCAGGCAGAGATGGAAACGGGGAAGAAAAGAGACTAGATGGTAGAAAAAAACATCCTGAGTGAGAACAATTGGGCTGAGCAGGCTTCCAGAGGGAGCAGCTGCTCAGCGGAGGCACCAGACAAGCCAGAATCAGAGGCCGGATGATGAAATGGGTCCATGCAATGACTGCCTGTCCCCAGACCCCGACAGGAGAACAGAAAACTTCAACCTCTTTAAATTGTGAGGATCCCACGTGGAGGAGGCTAAAATTGCCATCATAATAATCTGGCAACCTGATATTTTTCCACATTTCTTCATACAACAACTACGGTGCAAGTCGGAGCCATTCACAGCCTGACAGGTGAACTTGGAGAGCTGCAGGAACAAGGACACCTGCAGCAATCTCATTACTGGGTAATTTAACGATGGCAGTAATGGGACTGGAGGCTGCAGGCTGCGTGAAGGTCACCTAAAACCCAAAAGCTCCCTAGAAATAACGAATGCTGAAAGCTCCAAAGTTAATCACTCACCTGACGTGGGATCCTCCACGGACACTGCTTTATGTTCTTGATACTTAATGAGAAGATCACAAAATTACTCATAAAAATGCACCCGAGGCTCATACATGGTGTTGGCGAGGGACTCAACCCACTGCACTTGGCCACTGGCAAAGCCATTTGCCACTCCCCAGTGCCTGGCTAACCGTGGAACCATCCATCCCTGCAGCAGCCAAAACGCTCCGAGTCCTGACCTCCACCCATCCCCCTGCAGGCAGGAGGACGCAGGACACGGGGGCAAGAAGGGCAGAGGAGGAAGGGTGATGAGCAGCAGGGATGCTCAGCACAGCCACTGCCTCACCCCGGCACTGCAGCACAGCCAGGGCTCCTCTGCTGCACCAAACATCAGCCCCCAGCCACAGCTCAGCTGCACTGCACCCTCCGGGAAAAGGCCATTCCACTATATAAGCAACCTTAGAAATACTCTTTCTTTTAAAAAAATAAAGGTTTCTAGAAGAATGGAGAAAACAAATCAAATTCTCATTGCAAGTGAGGTCTCAGAATGGCTGGTGTAAGAATGTCTGGGCCTTTACTCTTGCACCAAAACAAGCAGCATCCCTCCCTATGGTGTCCAGCCCCACGCTGAACACAGAGCTGCACACCTCACAGACCACGCTGCACCTCCAGCCCCTCCTCTTCACACCTGCACCTGCAGGCAGGAGAGAGGCTGGCTCCCCTGGCACTGGCACCGTCTCTGGGGTGAGAGGGTGGGTGCTGTAACACCACACAGCAACTTTTAGCCTGTTTTGTGCCACAGAGACGTGCA